ATGTCGTCGTGTCTTCTCCCCATGCTCTCAGCTGCTCAGCCTCATCTGACTCTTTGTGACGCCATGGAATGTAGCTCACCAGGCTCTTCTGTCCGTAGTATTTTCCAGGCAAAATACTGGAGTGGGTTGCAATTTCCTTTTACCCTCCTATGTGATAAATTCAGTAAGGGTAGGATTGTGTCATCCTGCATCAACTCTTGTGCACTTTCAGTATCTGATGCTGGCTGTAGCCACTCAAGGTGCTCAAACTTACTCATAATCAGTGATGCTCTGTCACTCCACTTCACATTCTGCGCAGCAGTGTGACTGAGAAATCGATTCATGTGATTTTAAAGAAAGCTTTTACATGGTTGAATCCAGGATAGAAGAAGCACTGCTTCTTGAGTGATATTCTTGACATTGCTGATGTGTTTATTACACTTGTTTTACTGGCGTACACTTGATTTACAATGTTGTGTTAATTTTAGGTGTACACCAAAGTGTTTCAGTCACATGTATACATGAATCCACTCTTTTTTAGATTTTTTTCCCATATAGGCCATTACAGGATATTGAGCAGAATTCCCTCTGCTCTAAAGTAGGTCCTTACTAGTTATCTATTTTATATATAGTAATATGTATGTGTCTATCACAATCTTCCGTTTTATCCCCTTCTTACCACTGGTGGCTGTAAATTTGTTTTTTGTATCTATAATCTGTTTCTGTTTTGTGGGTAAGTTCATTTGTAGCCTTTTCAAAGGTTGCCAATGTAGATAATTTTCTTTACCATCTCTGCCCTCTCCTTTGTCTTTATTCCTCTCTCCCTCCCTCTGCTTCAAGGCTTCTTTAATATATCAACATCTTTACTGGTTTGTGCAGTATTGACATCTAGAAGCTACTTTTTGGTTACCTGGTATATCAGAATACTTTGATTTTAACATTATTTCTTAAAAACAAAATCTCACACTGAACAAATTTTAAAAATGGCTTGGGGATTCCTACTATATGGATTTCCCTGGTGGCTCAGAGGGTGAAGGGTCTGCCTACAATGCAGGAGACCCGGATTTAATCCCTGGGTCGGGAAGATCTTCTGGAGAAGGAAATGGCAACCCACTTCAGTATTCTTGCCTGGAAATTCCCATGGACGGAGGAGCCTTGTAGGCTACAGTCCACAGGCTTGCAAAGAGTTGGACACAACTGAGCAACTTCACTTTGGCGGTGGCAGAAAAAGATGACTTAACTTGTGATGGTTAGTGGGAGGTTATGTGGTAGTAATTAGTCAAAGTATCTCTTCTATTCAAAGTCAGAGTGTTGCAGAATTTCTTATAAAGTTATGTTTAAGATTATTGAGTCTTTTTTGTTGTTGCTGTTCACTCACTCATTTGTGTCCAACTCTTTGTGACCCCATAAACTGCAGCACACCAGGCTTCCCTGTCCTCCACTATCTTCCAGAGTTTGCTCAAACTCATGTCCATTGAGTCGATGATGCAACCATCTCATCCTCTGTTGCCCCCTTCTCATCCTATCCTCAATCTTTCCCAGCATCAGGGTCTTTACCATTGAGTCAGCTCTTCGCATCAGGTGACTAGAGTGTTGGAGTTTCAGCTTCAGCATCAGTCCTTCCAATGAATATTCAGGGTTGATTTCCTTTAGGAATGACTGGTTTGATCTCCTTGGAGTCCAGGAGACTCTCAAGGGTCTTCTCCAACACCATAATCTAAAAGCATCAATTCTTCGATGCTCAGCCTTCTTTGTGATCCAACTTTCACATCTGTATGTGACTACTGGGAAAACCATAGCTTTGACTATATGGACCTTTGTTGGCAAAGCAGTGTCTCCGGTTTTAAATATGTTGTCTAGGTTTTCTTCCAAGGAGTAAGCGTCTTTTAATTTCATGGCTGCAGTCACCGTCCACAGTGATTTTGGAGCCCAAGAAAATAGAGTCTGTCACTGTTGCCATTTTTCCCCATCTATTTGTGGTAAAATGATGGGACCGGATGCCCAGGTCCAGTCAGATAAATATTATTTCCTTAGTTGTTTAGTGAAAAAGATACATATTTTCAATTAGGATGCTCCAAATCCTTTATTAAGTAGTCATCACTTTCGGTCATATGATGAGCGGCAGTCAGGTGGGCTTAGGGAAAATTGGCAGGGTATGGAAAAAATATCCTAATAGGAAAGAAAATTCATCTACACTATGGAAAATTCATTCCCACTATGTCTAGATGATTGGAGGTGACTGTGTTCTTGGATTTCAGTTTCAGACTTGGAAGTTATTTACTTTTAAATTGGTATCTAAAAGTGCATAGTGGAGTGGGGAATTAAAGCTTATAATGTAAAGCAAAATATAGTAAGCAAACTCCCACACAGTCATATAAAAGACAAACTTATTTGTTGTGACAATAAATTTAAATGACATCAGCCGAATTAGCTGTAAGTTATTTTCATTTCTTTGTGTGGATTGCAACCTCAGTAAATCAATCTTTCAGATAAAGGATTTCCAGAATAATCATTTACATGTGTATGATATGCATTTAAAAAAAATTAGTTAGAAAATATATCTTCTGGTATATGTGAAAAATAAGGTAACAGAAAACTTGAATTCACATGTTTTTAAGAACTTGAATTTCCATTTCTTTAAAAATTAAAGGCAAAAGAGATTTTTCCATTGCCTTAGTTTGTACAAAAAGTCAAATAGAAATGTAATCTTCTTGTAGGAAGAAGAAAATTGAACTATACACACAGTTTATAATTTAACAGTGATTGGTTGTATAGGTAGTAGTGATAACTAGGGCTTCTAGACTGAAAATTATAAAGTATTACTATTTCTGTTTTAAATCTTAGTGCCTACATAGCCAGTGGATCAAATATCCAAGATGGATAATCACTGGTATTGTGCTTCAGGCTTTAGATCTAACAAATAAAAATGAAAAACATTTGGATATGATTAAAGAACAAAGAAAGAAGGGGATGGATGGAAAGCAACCAATTCAGAAAATAAGGAACAGTTGGTCTACCCTAATTACAGCCATCCTGATTTTTCTTTTTTGTTCTGTATGTATCAATTGGAAGTTTGGTCAAAAATTAACTCTTTTGCCTAATTACAGAAATAAATTCGTTGCAGCTTTTCAAAAGTGACTTTTATGTTTTTCCTTAAACTCAAATTTCAAACGACAGTCGCAGTTTGTACTGGCTGCATTGGCCACAATTCTTTCCCTTGATAAAGTTCATCAGTTCGCTTTTCATTTCCGAAAACTGAATCTCTTATATCTGCCATCATCTAAATGAGGATGTGTTGACATAAAGGGAAGAACAAAGATTCAACTAATTAAGGGAGTTTTACCTTTGAATTAGGCTGAGTTGTACGGAAGTGTGGCTGAATCTAAGAAGATGGTGAAACATTTTGCATAACCCAAGCATAATGATTTTGCAGATTGTTTATTGTTGCCAATCAAGCACTAAAATAAGGCCCAAGTTCTGACCCTCGTAAATTTCTTTCTCATAATTCTTCTCATAAATAATAAAGGATGTGGACTTCTTGGTTTTTCAGTAGAGACGAACTTTTTGAGATGTCAGTTACTTTATTGCTTTCTTCTTTCCTGCTTTTCCCACTTGCCATCACAAGTACTTTTATTTATTCTGTGTTCATCTTATATGGGATACATGCTTCTTTTCATTAACTACTGAGAGGTGCATACTATATAATCTCTTTGGTATGTAGCATGTCTTTTTGTTTGTTATTTGAGAGTCATTAAATGCAGGTACATGCGTAAAAATGAGGCTAATAGCCACGACTTTCAATGTCAAACTCCTTCTGAAACTTCGTATGGCATTATATGCATTGCAGATCTGATGGCTTTCTCTGTTTGTCCTTTGTGTTTACTTGCCTCCTACCTGCCCTTGACCCCTCAACACATACACAAAAGCAGCTGAAGCTTCAAAAGGAAAGATATTATGTATGTGCCTATTGTGTTCTGGTGATTCTGAATAAGCAGGAATATAAAGAGGCAAGGTCAGCTGAAAACTGAGAAGTTCTTTTGTATTTTATCTTTCAATTGCTTCCTTACTATTGGCAGTAACAGTTTGGGGCTGATTAACAAAATATATGTTGTAAACCTATGAAAAGCTTGGAAGGAATGTAGATGATACTGTTATTTTAAAGTCTGAATCATGATTTGAACCATGCTGTAAATCATGTCAAAACCCCCAGAACTTAACATGGAAGTTAGAAGAGACAACACCTACATTTCCCTCCCTCTAAACCATTTTTTCCATACCATAACTTTTTCTTGCTAAAAACAGAGACTTGATCATTTCCTTAATCTTTTAGTCCACTTTGGCTCCCCGTTCCTCATCACAGTAGTTTTTTATGGACTACCTTGGGATTACCTAGAGAGCGTCTAAAATGTGTACATATCTGAGGCTTATCATCAGAAACTGATTTTTAGATAGAAGTGGCAAGTGTATCTGATAAAATCTCTGTTCATTGGTTCTGATGCCTCTTTGTCATGTCCCATCTAAACCTTCTCATCCCATCTCAAGCCATCTGCTCCACTCACCTGCTCTTCATTAGCCGTGCTAAGCCTCGATAGTATCCAAATAGTTCTGTTCCACACCTCTGTCCTTCTCTGTACACTCTTCCTACTATTCAAAATTCTCTCTTCCCTCCTGTCTTTCCCCTCCTTTCCACTCCGAGTCTTTTATCTGTCGAACAACCGCTTATCTTCCTAGATTCTCTGTAAGTGACACAACTTTCCTTATTACCCCATGTAGAAATACTCATTTTTGATTAGCATTTATATTTGATTATGAGTTCATGTTTATATTAAATGAATACATGGGTGATTAATAAAAACCCCGTTAGGAATTTAAACGTATAGTTTCTGTGAGCATTGTTCTTAAGGGCTTTATTGATTTGACCTAGGTTGGATAATTTCGTTTTTCATGATGTATATTCCCATTGAAGCTTATGTGCCTATATATTTACTCTTCTCTTCATTTTTCCCCCTTTGTGTCTACAGACGAAATCTCACAAAACTATCCCTTATCTTCAGTCACATGTTGGCAGAAATCAAAGCAATCTTTCCCAATGGACAGTTCCAGGGAGATAACTTCCGTATCACGAAAGCAGATGCTGCTGAATTCTGGAGAAAGTTTTTTGGAGACAAGTAAGTACAAATCATTTTATAATTTGGATCCATATTTGATGGATCCAAATATGGATCCATCATATTTGTCTCCAGTTCCAAATGGTATAGATTTTACCTGAATATTTCTAGAATGTTCTTCAGTGTTTTCGATAAGTGCTTTTTGATTGCTTTTTTTCCCCTGTTTAGCCACCAAAAATATACCTTAGTAACTGAATAATCTTGTTATTACCAAGTAGATATTGTATGATATGTATTTATTTGATGGGCATTCATTGAATGAAATAGTTTGCTCTAAAAAGCAGAGGTATGTAAGATACAATATACATGAGAAGCTCATGGCTTTATAATTCAGTGCACACATAAAACACATTTACAAAATAAAAGAAAAGGAAAGATACTTTAAAAAATAGCATAAATAAATTGTTCTGACAATTCAGAGAGGGCAACAGTTGCTTCAGGATTGCAGCTGTCGGAGACTACTTGCTAGAGGAGGTGGAGCATACACTTGATGAAGATGATGAAGATCTGAAATTGGAGAGAGGCCTTTAGCCCTGGGATTCAGGTTTTCTTTGTGTCACTGCGCAGAAAGTAAACATGTATAAGCAAGATACAGAAAAGAGGGTAATGTTATCGCTGAGTTGCATTATCTCACAAAATAGCTAAAGGCATTTTCCTTTAGGTATTTTCTATCCAGACACAAGCTCAGGTGAGCTTGGTAAATAATAGGAATTAAATATCTGAAGTCTGCATAACTTAAGTAAAACTTGCAAAAGTTTTATCAGGAGTCTCTTGGTAAGATGATCAGGACATGAGCATCAGGAAGCAGATGGTTTCTTTAGTAACCTTTTAAAGGTCCTTCAGTATGTCTTGAGTGTAGGCAGAACCCTAGCTTAGAGTTAAAAGTGATTTCTTACACTCAGACTGTTGTTTTCTTTTTGTAGTTAAATTCTGTGTTTATACATTAGCTGATGAAATAAGACATAAAACATTGGAATACACGACTGTCAACAATCTGAGCCCTCTGACACTGATGGATTAACTGTAACAGTAGGTTTCCCTTATTTTTCTTCATGAAGTACTGTTTGTCCATAAGCTGTATGTGATTAGGGCACATACAGAGCAGTGCACATTTGATTAGATAGACATTTTTTTTTTAACTTTAGAAATATTAAAGCCTTTTTCCCACTTCTTAAATAAAAAGTATTCTGAGTTATTTTTAAGCACTACTAGAGGTAATACTATTACTACTTTTAACCCTGAAATTCTGTATTCCAGAGATCTGGCTCATGTGTAATGCTTCTATATCCATTCACAAATGAGGACTTAAAAGAAGAAAACATTCATTCTCCTCTGAATTAGCCTAACATCCAAGAGTGTACTAATTAAATATTTGTGAATAGTAGAAAGCAGAAAGGGATTGCAGAGCTCTGAAAGTAAGAATTGAGGACTTCTTGAAGTTACAGCTCATATATTAATAGCCTAATGCAAACAGTTGGTAACCTTCAACATAAACTATCTTAAGATTTTAAGAAAATCTATCAGATGAATTACTTGTGGTATTTCCTTTTTGAAAACTGAAAATTCTGGTGAGTTATAAAGTTGTTCGCTAGTCAAAAGGCCAGTGACAAATGGAACGATTGCTCACGTTTTTCAAGAGAGGAGTTTGTTTTGCCAGCACCTCAAGCCACAGAGAACTATGCATCTGAGGCATCTGTGCGTCCCTTTATTCGCAGCCATAGACATCAGGGGGTTGGGGTTTCTGCGCAGCTGCTGTGCGGGCGAGTCACCGCTAAATCCAACGGGGGTCTTGAAAAGCTGATGGAACGTGCTCTCTGCCTCCCCAGATCCTTTACCTCTGTCTCCTCCTATCTTTGCTTACTTGAAAAAGCTTCTTAATTTGTCTTTAAGATTTTTACTTTTGGGATGAGAGCCAAACTTAAAGCTTCTTCTGGAATGCAGACATAGTTCTGTAGTAATCAGAATTATGGTTCTTTTATTAGACCATTGGAGAAACTATCTTTGTATTCTCTATGGGTTTTCACCTTATAGTTCCATGGTATTTTATTGAATGAATGGACGAATGAATGATGTAGCATTTTAAAAGGTCGAATCCTTTTATCTTTTTTATACTTTAACACTAGTCTGCATTTTTGCATAATTGGGTTCTCATTCAGAAGTATTCCTGTTATTCATCTACATATTGAGGGCATATGATGATGCTTTCATTTGACCTAACTAATGCCTTTAAACCTGAATGTATTATTGTTTCATAAAACAGAACTATTGAATGGTTAGTTCTAAAAACAGCCAAACAGATTATGATTTTTATAAACCAACTTTTAACTTAAGGAGTATTATTGTGACATTTTCCCCAAAAGGGAAATAAAAAAAAGTCAATAAGAACACAATATTCAGATGGAGTTAAAATTGGGAAAAAGTTATCGTTCAAAGGAATTTAGGAAAATCCTAAAGGCAAATTTAGCATGCATACCTAAAAAACAGGCAGTAGACAAAAATCTTGAGGTATAATGTGCCTAACGCTTCATTTCTGTGCTTCTCAATCTTTTTGAAGTCATGGCAAGGCTGGCCTCTCTGCTCAAGACCCAAGCCCAGCTGCCAGGAGGTTCCGCCTATCAAAGTCTCGAGGGGAATCAGTAACACATCATGTGTCAGGGTAAACTGGCTGGGAAGTTCTGTAGTTGGTAGATTTGGGGAAGTCCTATAGTTGGTAGATTTTTATGTGAGGTTACTGAATGTTTTAAGAGTTGAGTTCTGCTTTTGCTTTCTTAGTCTATTGACAGGAGATAGTAGAAGTATGTAGAAAAAGAGGAGTGGCATTATTGAGTGAATGTTTCTAAGTAAATTCTACTAAATGAGACCAATACCAGACTGAATCTTTACCCTCTGGGTTAGTAGTATATGATCTGGAAACTTTCAGCATGAGGCTCAAAAAATTAAGGAAAAGATTCACTACTGTGATTAGACTCCAGGTAACAGTCATTTTTCCAATAAGCAAGTCAGGTAGCAGTTTCCAGGCTCCTCATACTAAGCTTTTCTTGATGCTGAGATTCAGACATGTGGTTCCAGCCAACTTGAAGATTTTATCTCTGGTCTAAAAGTCCTCACTGATCCCTCAGTGTTCCTCTTGCTCTTGATTTTGTCCCTTATTATACTGGATCTTTTAGTTCTTAAATTCCCATAAGCTCTTGCTCATCTCCACATTTATTATTTTTCATTGGTTTTTTTGAAGTTATTTGCCTGGTTGTCTTCCCATTAGATTATAAGTCCCGTGAATCAGGCTTATTTAGTCAGTGTTGGTGGTTCCCGAGGTCGTTGAACATGGTGTCTGACTTGGGGACACCCAGGAGCAGCTGTTCACTTGGTCCCGATGAGCTGTGGAGTGGCTGCGTGTGCGCGAGCGCGTGGACAGACGGTGCTTACCTGTTCTGGAGGTGGCGTCTCAGTGCGGCTTGCAGCCAGCTCATCCATGTTCAGGTTCTGACTGCAGCGTTTACGAGTGTTATCCCTTCGTACAAGCTGCTTGTTTTTTCCTTGCATCAGTTTCTTCATATATAAAATGTAGATGATAATACTACAAAATGTGGATGATAGTAACAAGAATACCTACTGTGTAGAGGTATTGCAAAGATTAAAGAGCTAAAATCTACCTATCAGGCAAGTAGGACAGTGTCTGGCACATAGTAAATACTCTGTGTTGTGGAATAATTAAACAGTTTAAACCTTTAATCTTGCTCAGTGTCCCATGAATATATTTATTGTTAATTCTACAAATAATAAAATTAATATTCAACTTTACATGACAGAGATGCCATGGTCTCTAGAACTCTAAAAGCAGAAATCCAGAAAAAGTTAATAAAAGTTTTCTAAAATTGTGTATCTGCTATGTAAAAGTGGGGTAGAATATAAGAAACTGTCCTGCTGACCATGAGGGGAAAAAAATGCTCTGTTTAAAATTCAGTTCATTACATCTACCTTTGATTTCCTGAGGAAGTTGTAGGGACCTTTTGGTTTCCTGTGTTTTCTTTTCACTTTTAATTAGAAACAAATATGCCATGAAATACATTTTTTAGCATATTAACTAGATCAGTTTTCCCTCTAATCAAAGAAGAGTCAACTTAGTCATATTTAATTAAATAATGCATGATAGAAATGAAGAACTCTTACAAGGAGAAAAAATAAACTGAAATATTAGTTCTTTTTAAAAAAGAATTATTAAAAAAAACCTCAAAGAGCTTCTATTTAATATTTCTGTTATTTCGTCACCTCCTATTGTTGTCTATTTTAAAACAGCCAAGTATCTTTATATCGTAAGGAAGATAAAATGACAGGGCTATTTTGTTCAATTCATTGCAACAGGATCCCAGATAGAAAAAGCAAATAACATGTGAAATTATAATTTTCTACCTCTAAGCAGTATGTATTTAATTTGGGGGATACAGTATATACAAAGATGATAAATAACGTAAAATCAGTTCTGTCCCATTATAGAAGTGCTTAAGGAATGTCACAAATAGTGAACTGTTTACTGGGGTGATGAGAATTGTTTACCCGGGCTCCATGGAGGAGCTGGTTTTTTGTATGAGTTGCACATGTGTTAGTAAGGAGGAGGCAGAGGAGAATGCTCTGAGGGGGATGAAATTTTCATGGTGTCTGCTGTCTTTCCAAAGAAAGATGCGGAGTAACTTGAAGTTTCCATAAATGGCATTTTTATTGTTGTTTTCTTTTACCTTCTTTTCCTCACTATGAACTCCTCAGTAAGTGACGTTCACTTCAGTGAATTCACCATGAACCAAGTTCTGGTTCTTAACCTTGAAGCATGGGTTTCAGTAGGTTTCATCCTGAGTATATCTATAGACTGGTACATGTTACTGAGCTCACAGACTGATCTCTAATACAGAATGATGCTTTGATTAATTTACAATGATCAATGCTACTGTAAAGCAGATGGGAATGCTCTCATCACCTCATATAAATTATATGTGGAGCCATATCATATC